CTGACAAAATAAAAAATCAAATCCAGTCCTTAAAAGATTGTTGTGGATTCAAAAATAAGACATTAGTAACTGACTCAAAAACTACGGACCCTGATGTTAAAGCCCTTGGGCATCCTAGTTGCAACGAAGTAAGTAGAAGGAATTTGTTGTGTATTTCGCTATAACCAGCTCCAATTCCATTATTTGTTTTTTAAAAAACCAGAAAAATTATCTCCTTGATAGTCATTCTGTCCCTAAGTTTATGTTTTCTGTACGCTCTGCACCCAAGCAGGTAATTACTGAGTAATCTAGATAGCTAAGAACGCCTATCACAGTGTGAAACCTTGATATAACAAAGGGCCAAGGGGCTGGCAAAATTTGTTTGCTACAATGAGGTTTCGTTATATCAAGGTTCTTTTTTATGTATTTTATCATTCCTGGGGTAAAGAAAGTCGCTTGTTATAGTAAGGACTTGCTTATATAGAGGTTCGTTATACTGAGGTTCTACTGTAATATAATCTCTCACCTTTGTTAGATTTCCTAGTCACGTTAACTTACAATAATTTTATTAACTTTTGTTCAACGCGTTTAATATTATGTTACAGTGTATGTGAGTGACTAAACAAAGAAATGAATAAATAATTATTTTTGTCACTTCTTAAGGTCGTTCGCGCTAATTGTTTCTGCGCATCCCTACTGTGCACAAAATTCATAGCGCAATATCACGTCACGTCATGCATCGAGCGCGCGCTGAGAAAACTGTCTAAGCACATATAGGGCTGGTAACCGTTGCGTTAACTTCGCTTGCAATTTCCTTTCTTAGATGGTCGGTGACACCCCATTGTTTTCGGTAGACCACTTTCTCTTCCACTTCCCATAGATTGTGAAAAAATGAACAAAAAATCAATTTAGGAAGGTAAAAAATTTTCAATTTTTCTGTGTATGCGGCAACGAATTTTGGCATTCGTGCAGCTGTTAGAAGAGTATAAATGTGTCCGCTAAATGATAAAATCAACTCTGAGGAAGTTTTTTAGTTCACCGATTTTTGTTTATGGATCCACAAGAGCAATAATTGGCGGATAAAATTTCAATTCAGGGATTTATTTATAGACTTTTTGCACAAACAGGCACTTTATCCGTATGTAGTAACGAAGCCCGATTTCTCAGATTTTGGGTGATCTTTTGAACATCATATCTCCGAAACAAACTCGGTGACCCCCCAATTTTTTTACATTTTTGACATGAGTATAAACCCATAATCTCAAACTGGTGAAAGTTTCAGAAAAAACTCAATGTTAGAAGATTTTCGCGCGAACGTCCTTAAGCGGTCAAAGGCCACGTTTTTTCTGGGTAGGAGCATATGAGCACCAAAGGTCCAAATATCTGAGACAATTGTGACTCGATATAGTTACTAGGGGGTCGTGGGTGGGGCATTCCACTCTAAACATTTTCGTGAAATTGGATGGTCATGCAGAGGGTGCAATTCACGAGTTTCAAATGCAATCACATAATCATCAGGCAATAGATGTTGCTTGTAAAACTTGAAAATCCAATAACACTTTTCACTGCATGCATTATCGATGGTGTAGAGTAATTCCATTAATACTATTACCTGGTCAATAGAGCAACGAGTCATTTGATTTAGCTTTGATTTAAGTAATATACCATATTCCCTCATATAATAGCCATCCCTCAATTAATCGCCTCCCTCGAATAATCGCCCCCTTTAAACGGAAATATTTAAAATAATTGCCTCCATCAAATAGTCTCCTCTCTGCCACCCCTTTTGCCATCTTCCCTTTCTTTCATACCCTCCCTGTCAAGTTGAAGTGCAATTTTTTTATTTGATGGGATAAAAATTTATATACAGCTGTTGCAAGAAAGGAAAAAGTGCACGCGACAATTTCGAAAGGTATTGTGGGTGGTTTTTAGGTCACTGTTTTTCAAAGAAATTTCAAATAATGGCACGAGAGGCCATGGACATACGTTTGCGAGGGCTAAAGGAAAGCAAACAAAAGTAGGTTCGACAGCTACTGTGTCAAGAACAAGTGTATTGATCATATCACATATTACCTTTCAGGATTGTCGCGTGCACAATTTTTTATGACAACCTTTCTTGAAATAGCTGTATATTTAGGGCACAACTTCCAGTAAGCAATATTAATTTAAAATAGTCACCTCCCTCAAATAATCACCTTCCCTCAAATAAACACCCCCTTTTTGTGCGAAAAAAATAATAACCACCCCTGGCTATGATATCTAAAAAACTAAAGGTATACTCAAAGTGTCGTAATTTGTGGGTTAGCTGCTCTGAGGGCCACTCAAGGGAAGAGTGCTTCTGATTGGTTGAATCAAATTTCCCACGCGCCACGACCATTCAGAAGCACTACCCAGATTTGGGTAGTGTGACGCATCATCAGTATGGAATTTCTGCTCTTGTTTCCCAGACGTAATTTCACGGGGAAACCAATGGTGGCGTCACAAAATGTCATCTGTCTTCTCAGGCTAAACTTCATGAAATAAGATTGTTGTGAAAAAATTGTTGGTAACAAAAATGTAGACCACTCATCGCCCACCTTTACACTCCTTCTGGTCCAAAAAGACACCCTGTTCAAGGCACTTAATGGTGGATTTGTGCACCCTGTGTGAGACTCAAGACCCTGGAAACAATACTGCGTAGATCAGCACAGACCCGTATAGGCCAAATAAGGGAGTGCCCCTCCCCATCCCCCAGGGTTAGCTACCATAATTTTAATACTTTTCTGATAAAAAGAAAAGACTGAGAAGTAAAAATAAATTTCAAATAGGCCCCCCAAGCTGGGCACCTTATTGGTAAAACTGATCTTCATATGAACAAATAGTAATGTGTGACTGTTGTACAAATTCCTTTCAGTTAAAGTGCTGTAGAAATTCGGGTGACCCATGTGACAACTGCGAGACTTGTTATAATGCTCTGGAGGGTTTAGTGAATCATCTTCTAAAAGTGGCCGGTGGTGTTGGATTGTTCTTCAGTTTTACTTTGGTAAGTTTCTTATGTACAAATGTGCATAGCCTGCGATTTTGGGGCACAGGGAGGTACTCCTGATTTCAAGTGACGGGGATGGTCATAGGGGGGCAAAAAACAAAACCCAAAAAAATCCCTGGACCAAATATTAACCCCAAAAAAATCCCGTACAGAACTTATGCAGCCACTCATATGGGCACTACCATGAATCTTTAGATTGTTTTGAATACCCAGAAAAATCCGTACTTAAATTAAGTCACCCAAGAAAATACTTGCCAAATTTTCCGACCCCCCCAAAAAAAAAAATGCGAGAATTAAAAATTTCAAACCCAAAAAATCCTTCAATCATCCCTGTGACTTGAAACCCAGAGCACCCCCACTGGCTAGAATGTACACCAAGAGTAACAATGGTTCATAAGACTTCAAGGGGAGTCTACTGTAGTCTGTAATTATATGCTTTGGTTGTACTAGAAGTGCATGCAGCTTAAATCCTACTAGTTTAAAAACACTCCTGACTACTTTAACTAGTTTAGAGAAGCATTTCAGGGCTGTCATTAGGAGCCAAGGGCCGGGGATTTCCCCCGGCTACTATGAGTGTGGTCCCCGGCTACTTTTATTGGAAAATAGAAGAAAAATAGAGCCAAAAGAAATTCCTTGCTGTTTGATTCCCTGCCTACTTGAAATTTTAGTGACAACCCTGCATTTAATAAATTTATCCAAAATATAGAACATAACAGGGGGCAGCTGGCAGGAGGCAGCCATTCGGCTATTTTACAAGGTGGTTCATAAGTTGTACTCAGACTGCATGAAACAAATCTTCTGATCAGGCCCCGGTTGTTCAAACGTTGGATAGTGCTATCCAGCGGATAACGCAATTGTTTCGCGTAATACATATCCGCTGGATAGTGATTTATTTGGTGGATAGCGCTACCCAGCTTTTGAACAACCGGGGCCAGGGGACTTGATACCAGAACCTCCGGATTGTATGTCTGATGTAGACACACTGTCTAGTATGCCAAACTGCCTCCATTAAAAAATGAGCAATTAGACGACTGTGCTGCGGCCAAATGAGCGATTTGTATAATAACAAGAATCATGATCAACAATTAGAATTTCAAACTTAAAGAAGACAACCAAAATTGTAAGTTTCACCAGTTATCCATTGAGAATATTCAACTTTTTCTCTAGAGCCCCAGATTAATGGGAATATGGTCTGAGTAAGAGGTGTGGCCCTGGTTGTTCAAACTTTAGACAGCAAGCAATTGCGCTATCCTCTGGGTGGAGATTTATCCAACAGATAAACTGGGGCCTGTTGCTTTTATCCACAATGCTTGCCAAAGTTTAACAGGACATTTGTTTGATCTTTATAACCATTGGTAATTAAGGAACTTGCTGGTTACTTCAGGGAAACTGTGTAAATTTCTTTTAACTCTGTTTCATAAAAATGTAACAGTTCTAGTCTGATCTCTGCTTCTCATTTTTTCTGCTGACTTCCTTCTCTGTTTCTATCTCTCACAGTTATTTGGTGTATACATGACATGCCGATACAGGAATCAGAAGGATCCTCGAGCCAACCCTGGGGCATTTCTTTAGTGAATATCACTACTGCACTCTTGCAGCATAAACTTCTTTTTTTACTAAACTAATGTGCTCTTTTAACACTCATTCAAGTGTCAACTAAAATAATTATATGCTGATTAGTTGTTGCTTGGTGTCTTAGAGGTGACATTATGATTGTGAAAGATGATGGTGATGATGATAATGATGATAACCTTATTAATGTGGTTCAGTTTATTTCTTCTAATTATTTTCAGGCAACTGATCTTGATTTTATTTGATTTAATTGGATGCTTTTGGTAGATAAAGAGTCTGACAAAAACTTTGTATAGAAAAACAAGAAGTACATTTGATATGTATAGACACTCATGCATTTGTGATAATTATCTTTTGTAAAAAAAAAAGGTTGGGTATTTGAACCCTGGGGGTACTCCCTTATATAAGCTGTACAGGTATGTACCGCCCCATCAGGTAGGGCTTTTGTGCCAGTGGTCTGAAAACAGGTATACATGTTTCCCATTTTGGTGAATTGTGTATGGTTTTCGAGGGAACTAGGGAAGTGTATGAACGTAGTTATCGTTTCAATTCCAGATAAGTAAAACAGAAAGAGAAATATGTGAATTCAATATGGATTGGAAGAATTTTTTGTTTGCTCTCTAATCTAAGTAATGATAACATAATTTTTGCCTAAAGGCCAGGTCTGATCGGAAAATGGGTGTCAAGAATTACATTTTTTGGTCTGAAATAGGGTCAGCATTTGGAGAACCAGGTGGCACACCCCCACCAAGAATTCCCAGAAGTACCCCCAGGTTTGAACCACTGGCCTTACATTAAAACCCCTAAGCTGTCAGTGTCCAGGGCCACCCACTTTCTACTCTATTGGTGTTATATATCACTTCATAAAAATCAATCAATATTGTTATTTCAAATAATGCAGTCAACACTCCCTTAACCTGTGTAAAAGCCACCCCTCCCTCAGTTGACTGAATCAGGAAAAAGCCCTTTCCTCCTTTTTTTTTTCCTGAGCGGAGGGGTGGTTGTACACAGGCTACCCTACAACACAGTAACCTAGAGTTGGTCCCTGGAATTCTTCAATTATTATCTTTAACTGAGACCCCTTTTACATTGGACTCCCTGTGCTGGTCCAAATGGTGTCCATCTTAGAGACAGCTGAGACATTATTAAATGTTGTTGGTAAATTATGTAAGCACTTGAGAATTTTTTAAGAATGCTCAAGAAGTTACATAATCACACAGCCTCCTTCCCAGAGGTTTCGGCAATTTCTGGTTTGACATCACCTGTCAAGCTAATCTGAAGAATTCATTTTGGTTCCTCCACTCACTTGAAAACCATGAACTGGCCTGGGGACAAGGCTGATAAGCACATTGCTACAGCTCATTCCTCCACTTTGAGCACTTTTTTCTTGTGGAATAACCCCTTTGTGCTTATGTAATTAGATAATGCATTTGGCAAATTTTTGTTGTAATATATTTGACATTACAGTACTAAACTGTAACTTAGTAATAGTAATAGTAACATTCATTTTGCTCCATTTAACTGTTTACATTTGAGCGAAGATGGGCAGATGAAATAAAATCAATATTGAATAATTTATGATTAGCAGCCTTGTATTATTAACTTACGTTAAGTCTTTACTGCAACTGTGTGAGCCGCCTGCAACGCAGGCTACTGTTTCTGTGAGTTTTTTAATGCAAACAAACTGAAGGTTTTAAAGCCAACAAACTATTTCACAAATTATTTGTGCCAGTTAAGTAGGTGATGCATATGAAATAAATCATTCAATAATTCTTTCTTGTGCCCATGTTACTTCCAAGTGCCTACTACGCAGGCTAGCACCCCACCTCTATACACTCAACCCCTATTAAGCTATCATGATAGGGATGAGGAGAGAGAAACTTTATGTATATAAGTGATTTAACTTCATTAAACTTACAAGACAGCTTGATATCCAATTAATTTTACACAGATGAATCTACACACAAAGGCACCAATAAAGGTTTCTCAGAGAAACTACCCACCTACCTTTCCCTAAACCAACATTAAGACTTACTGGGAGGAGGGGAGGGGAGGGGTATGTGAGCAGTTTCCCAGAAAACTAAATTGAAAAAGCCTCAGCTTCTGATAAGCCACAGTTTAGAAGCTTCTAGTACTTAGAGAAATACGCCCTTCCCAGGGAAGGGGGGCTGAGTAGAGTAAATACAATACGAATTTCCCCCCACTCCCTACCCTTCACCCTACCAGGGTGGTTTATACCGTAATCCGGAGCAAACAATTTCCATGTATTCTTCCCAAAACATTTCACAGACCAGTTATTTTTAGGCTGATTTTGAGGCGAATCTACAATAGATCATTGCGTATGTTCCTAAGTTCCAAGATCTAAAGTTGAAATATTAGTTTTGAGCATTTTAACGAAAAAATTTTCCCTATGTAAGGAGTCCATAACCCCCTTCCACCCAAGGTGTGTACCACTGGAAAGCTTTTAGTTTAGACTCCGTTTTAGAAAATAAACATGCACTTAAAATGATATCCCCTTCCAGAGAGCTCGGAGAAGCTCTCACTTTCACTTTTTAGGTCTGGCGGTGAGATATAACGTGATTACATTTTAACAGCATGTCTTTTAATACAAATCTGTTAAGATTTGGCAAGTTTGCCACGGTAATAACCTTTGTGGAAATTTTTGTTCGTAGATTTAAGATTTTACACACATTAGTCTAGGTTTCATTGGTTATACTACAGAACATGTTTTGTACCCTGAATTGTTAGGAGAGCGGATGAAGCGGCCTGGAAAGTCAGCTAAATATGTTAAAGAACCCTCGTTCGGGCCTTGTCCTGTTGTGGCTTCATAAGAAGCACACTTTGACATACAACTCGAACCCTGTATTAGCTAATCGAATAATTAGATGTATTTACGCTGTATAAGCTAATAAGATAATAAGGTGTATTTACCTGTGTTCCTGTGACTTTATGAGTCTTTTTGGAAAGGATTTGAATCCGATCAGAGACAGTTAAAATTGTTGGTATCAAATGGTTGTTTGTCAAGCGCTTCGTAAAGAGGACGCGACAGTTTATACCTCTCAAGTTTCCAAAGAGAGTTACGTTAATACTTAACTTAAGCGTCGCGTCCGATGTGCCAGACAAACAAACATTTGACACCGGAATGTTATAAACCGTCTCTGATCGGATTCAATTCCCATCCAAAACGACTCCTAAATACACAGAAACACAGGTAAATGCATCTTATTTTATTAGCTAATACAGCTTAATTAAATGCATCTTATTATTTTATTAGCTGATACAGCGTTCGTGTCCCCGTGTGAGAAGTCACGTGCGCGAGCGGCTCGCGAGGGGAGACACGAGAACGAGGAAGCGCGCCTCTCAAAGCTCAGTTGCTCTGCTCGCTAATGATCGCCACTCGCATTGGGACAAATGGTCTTACCTAGTGGCTTGATGACACTGAGGTAAACGCTGGGCACTGAAATTAAGACTTCAAAATTTTAAAATTTGTTTGTGTCTTTATTTTATGTTTCAGTTGTTGGGCGTGTGTTTGACATCTCGCGTTCGCAGTCGCCGGCAGAAACCATATTTGGACTGAACAAAAGCTTGGCCGAACGCTGTCAAGTACACATATCATTACAGACGTTCTTTTGGTACTTGTTGGTGACAGCAATTTTACCTGATGTCTCAAAGGAAATTCAGTCATATTGATAGTGACAGTACAAAATGTTTATTTAATATCTGATATCCCGCTAAAGCTACGGTATAAAAAAGGGGAGCGAAAAGTGCAACTTGTCTTGCAACATTGCTACAAAACGAGTTAATTGCGATTTTGCGCGTTTTACCACCCACAAGTCAAACTAGGGCCACTGGGTGGGTACTCCTGGAGATTCTTGGTGGGGGTGTGCCGCCTGGTTCTCCAAATCCTGATGCTATTTCAGACCAAATAAATGTCTTTTTTCATATCCGTTTTCAGGCAGACCTGGCCTCCAAAATCCATACCCGGGTGTATTGATTACGGCCATGTTCAATATAGGAACAGGTGGTGCAATTCCTGTTGTTGCACCGAAAGGAACCGGGGGTGGGTCGTGAGTTACTGGTGTCGGTGCTGTTACTCTGGGCTCTAACGAGGATGTCGCTAATATTTTCACAACGGCGATAAGCTACTAACGGAAGGTTTTGAAAAACTGTTAGGCTGAACAGTTTTCAAAAACCCTAATATCAATCTGTTTCAATCTTCTTCAGTTTTGCCCATCCGTGCATCTGTTGTTTCTGTCATGTTATTTTAACCTTCCCTTAAAGTTTTAAGCGGTCATTTTTATGTTTCTCTTAATTGAACGGGCATTTTGTAATTTCCTAATTGACACAGCTCGTTAAAATTCATTTTAAATTCGCATATTTCTCTCTCTTTCTTATTAATTTGGAATGGAAACGATAAAAACGTTTATACACTCCCGTAGTTCCCTCGAAAACCGTACCCTATTCCAGACCAAAATGGGCAAAGTCAGAACCCCATAGGGAAAGTCTACACCCGTTTTCAGACCAAAGCGGCGCAAAAACTATACCCTCGTGGGCGTCATATACCTATATGGCTTTATATAAAGGAGTACCCTCCCTACCCGCCCCCCTTGGGTGTTTATATTCTGCTGAAATTGGAATGTAGCGGGATGATTTAAAGTAATCTCATTGTTTAATAACCGACAAAAACTGAAAAATATTAGCAAATGTTAGGAAATAGGAAAAGAAAAGGAAATAGGATGCCGGGAAACCTCAACAGCCGTAGGCAATTGGCAGGCCTGAATAATTTATTATTTATTTGTTATTTATAATAAAGATAAAGTTATTGTAATATGTTTCAGAAAAATTACAGCTTGTATGGTTAATAAAGTTATAGAAAACTAAACTTTCGTAGGCAATTGGTAGGCCTGAATAATTGATTGTTATTTATAATAAAGATAAAGTTATTGTAATATGTTTCGGAAAAATTACAGCTTGTATGGTTAATAAAATTAACAAAGTTATAGAAATAAACTTTCAACTTTCAGGAGCAGGTAATCGGCTCCTGGCTGATTCTGTTCTTTTGTAAAAGAAACTGGAAAAAATCAAAAGATATGTCATGTCCTACGGTTTCTTTCACCTGACAATCAACTATTTCTCGCATTTTATGCTTTAGAGGGTATACGTAAACCAACAATTGAACTTACCCTCAGTTCGTAACTCTACGCGCATACCATCCACGCGTGGTTGTGTTCGCAGGAGACCAATGACCTGCCAAACACCACATGGGGAAAATGAGGACTCTGTGGAACTTAGACTCATGGAGAGCATGGCTCTAGGTTTCTTCGACTTCAAGATGTCGAAGATAAAGATAACGGAACGTACAGTAATGCTGAGCACTTAGATTTCTATGATTTAGCTATGAAGAAACAATGGTTGCTTTTGAATCCCTATCACAAACGATCCAAACACCCAAAAAACTTTTTTATTGATTTTGTTTATTTTCCCCGCACAAGCACTCCGCTCTCCGCACTCCGCTGTCCCCAGTCCTCCCCTTTCACTAAACCGGAAACGACTCCTCCCTTGAGAGTCAAAATACTAACATTTCACTGCCAATATTCATTTTATCTTTGGAAGCGTATGCATTGCTCGGGACCTGCCTTCACAAAATGGTAATGTTTAAGTCTGTCACACTGGATGCAGTTTAAAGGCAAATTTTATCGTCAGAGCAACCATTTTTACTACATTTTACTCTTGCAGGGAAGTTTATCGGAAGATCAAATAGCAGGTAGGAGCGACGTGATATGAAGCTTCATGGTTTTCCAATCATCACGTTTTCCTTTCGTGTCAATTTTCCCGTAAAATGGTTCAACTACTCGATATATTTTTTCTCTGTCATCTCCAGAGCATAAGGAAGCCTTTTTACTTTTCGATAAGAGAGGAGATGGAAAAGTTGACTCGGCTCAACTTGGAGAAATCCTTCGATCTCTTGGATTGAACCCCACCGAAGCTGATGTCAAGAAGGTTTTGAAGGAAGTAGATCCAAGCGGTAGGAAACTTGTTATAGTGAAGATATAATTAATAGTTAACACAACACTAAAGAAAGCTTCGAACTGAGTAGATTCCTCATCGAAAATTGCCGACATATCCATCAGAGCTGCGGTTTCGAAAGCATGTTTACATAACACAACGTCAACGTTTTAGAATTGTTTAAGCTTATGTTTTGGCACATAATAAACCTCGGAAATTCTTTTATCGTTTTGGGCAATTTCCTCTGCCTGTCATAGGTTTCACTCTATAAAGTAACCGTTTTACTTGAGGAAGCTTTGCTAGCGAATAGTGAACAACATCATAACATACGAAAAATTGTTTGCTCGCTTCACCAAGGAAGAAGGTAGCTTAAACAAACTTCAGTTTCTGTTAAACAAAATTTGATGATTCCAGCTGTGATGCATATGCAGGTCTACAAACTTAAGAATGTCTGTCGTGATCATTTAATAATCTGACCCTTTGTATTGATCTGCTAAGTTTCTGCATGCGAAGCCGGTCCGCTTTGTCCCAGCAACAATGAATCTCACTGTGATTTTGCTGTGGGTCATTAATCATCAAAGCAAGGTCTTTTATATTATCGGTAATTAGCAAAGCAAATCTTGCGATTATGCATTTGCTGCAACAGACACATCATTGATCAGCTAGCTTAGTTCGCAGGTCAACAATGAAAGACGTACACCTATGAGACCGGCCCCGGCTATATCCATCTTAGAGAGGCAGGGCTGTCAACTCCCCATGTCTTCAAATATTGAGAATTGATGGAAAGGGATGATAGATGACGTCATAATGCAGTTGTGAAAAAAAAAGCACGAAAAAGATGTTGTTGGAATTGTAACATTTTACCTAAGATTGTGAGGAAACGTTCAATGTTACCAATAAAATAGCTCAAACAATGCAAAATATTTGAAATTTCATTGACAGGAAGTAGAATCTACAAGAAATGGCAAACTTTAGTGATTATCCGGGAGATTTCAGTCTCTAATCTGGAGACCGAGAGAAATGGTTCAAAATCTGGAGTCTCCCGGATTATCTGGGACAGTTGACAGCCCTGGAGAGGTGTCTGGCTTAAAGAGGGGGACATGTGGGTTTACAGTATTGCGCTATTGAGCTTTTTTCAAGCGGTATTTTGGTAATTTTGATTTTAATGGGCGGTATTGTCAGTGGTATTATCCAGCCCTGCGGTATGCAGTTTTTCATCCTTCTGGCTAAAGGTATCCAGTAAAAGAAGATCCTTCACGGTATTGCGGTACTGTTCATTTGGCCTCTCCTGTCTAATGTAGGTCAATATTATTTTGGAAGACTTCAGACAGCGGTAAATGATTACACAATTTCGTGACAGTTACTCTATAATGAAATTGGTAGGACATGCAATGATGGGGCTTTTTGATTGCTGTACCAATCAGTTCGAGGTCTTCTCACGTTTTCTCGCGATAGCTGAGGTTGATTTCTGGTGTATACATGCTTGAGATAAACAAACATATGAGATGGATACAACTTTAAGTAAGCGTGACCAATCATAAATACAGTATCGGTATTTCGTCAATTTTCGACACCGTATTGCGGTATTTGCCAGTTTTTCTTACAGTACTGTGGTATTGGTTACCCCTTAATGTTCCCCTCCTTAAAGAGAGTCAAGGTAATGTGACACCAGTAAAAACTTCAGCTGCACCCATTCGCATTGAATAATATATTCTGTTTAACCTACAATTTGGTAATGAGATCAACTCACTATTTAACTGTTGTAGTTCAATGTTTATCGGTGTTCAACGTCATTTTAAGTCCGGAAAATTCACTTAAGTCTCTTTTTTTGAACTCATAAATATTATCGACAAACAGACTTTTTCCTTGGGAGAGCATTTGACCACTACATGCACATTTGGCAGACCTTCCGTAATTTGGGCACCCCTCTCGTTCGAATATCGGTTGACACTATCCTCCAGTTATTGGCCATTACCCGGTCAACATGTTGGCAGACATCTTGGTGGACACTCAGTCAACAGGTCGGTTGACTATCAGATGACATGTCAGCCGGCCTCTCGGCAGACACTCAAGTAATATATATGGATACTGATATATGTATATACAGCAAGTGTCAAGGGTTGGCAGAATATCCCTCCACTATGTGTGGTACTTGTGTATAAAGTAATTTGTGTTAATCAGAACTGATATGTAAGAACAGACAGTAGCTCAAAGAAACATTTAACAAAGTAACCCAATTAAAAAATTTAGCTGCAAATTGGTGCACCTATTCTCTCAAACTCTGTGCCTGCTCTATCAAGTAAGGGTACAAGGTAGTTTGAAGAAAAGAATTGAGCAGATACTTGCAATTTATGCTCTCTTATTCATTAGACTGATCAAAGCTCCGAAAATCCCTTAAAAATTGCTGCCTGGACAATGGACCAAAAGAATTTGAACTGACATGCAGGAAATATGACCAAGTATCAGTAAAGTATCGGCCTATCGATTAATGTATCGGCCAATTATTGGTCAACATTCTGAAACACTATTGGCTGATATGTTAGTCCTCATGCAGGCCGACTCTCCGTCGGCTATGAGTCAACATACAGTGTACACTCGGCCAACTGATGTCAACCAACATATTGACTGATCCTGCAAAGGACTGAAATTTTGATTTTAGTGATCTGAAATGTAAGGGTAAGGATTGCGAGATGCATACTGCACACTCACACCTAAAATGCAAAAATCTGTGTTTTGTTTGTTTTCCTTTTCAGGTAATAAACGCATCTCCTTTGAGGAATTTTTGCCAATTTTCCTTTCAATTGGAGGAAAAACATCAACTAACACTTCCATTGAAGGTTTTGTAGATGGTTTGCGTGTCTTTGACAGAGATGGAAATGGCCAGATCTCAGCTGCTGAACTGCGACATGTTCTCACAGGACTGGGTAGGGTAATCATTGATCCTCTCTGGAGAGTATGCATCATATGGGATGAGTTCTCTGACTCACAGAATGATGCATACCCTCTGCTCATAGAATGGTGGGTGCCAACAGTAGAAAATAAATGGTGAAAAAAGCCAAGAACAAAATCTAAAATGCCAGAATTATTGGTTTTGATACCTGTTGGTACATGTTCATACTACTACTGTACTTAAGTTTTTCTGGAAACTTTCTACACCAGAGATTCACACAGTTGTTCTCTTTTTTTCACAATTTCGCTCCATCACAAAATATGCATTGACCCTTTGATGACTGCAGCTTGGTCATTTTCATTTCATTTGGAAGGTGAATATTTTCCTTCCTGGACCCATTTAGCTGTCTGTAATAAGTTGCTAAGCAGCAATCTCAGCAAAGATCTTTCCATCGATACATCCAAAGAAACACTGGGGGGAAAAATCCACTGCCAATTTCACTGTTTATACTTACTTCTCTTTGAGGATTAAATTTGTCTTTTTCCTAAAAAACTAGCCAGCCACAATTCTATGCAAAAGTAAGACAATAAAGCGGTGGCAACAAAACTGCTTATGAAGAAGAAAGGCAAAGGAAAAAAGAGAGTGTCAGGAGAAAGATTGAAATAGATTCGCAAAACATAAACAAGCTCAAAATTTGGCTTTTGCGCATGTGAGAAAGCCAATTGCAAAAAAGGGCTTATTTACATGCCAACCAGATGTAATTATTACATCTGGTTAGCTTTTAAATAAGACCTTTTTATAATACATGCTAAATTGACTGTCTGCACCCTAATAACAACTAGCTGTATGTCACAACACAATTGTGCAGAGCAACACTGTTTGAAACTAGTCAAGTCATTTTTATAGTGTCTCCCCACAACTGCCCAACTCTGTTTACAGGTCAAGCCCAAGGCTAGCTTTTGTTGCTGATGGTAAATTATAACTTCGAAAGTTCAGGCATGCAGATTTGTTTGCCGCAGTTTTGTTCCTAGGCAACTATGGACACAAACCTGCCAATTCTATATGGGCCACTGTAGATTGTACTTTGTTAGGCAACCCTAGATCTGCCTCTGGCACAAACCATTTCATGTACTCATTAAACCATGTTCTTGCTTGGCTCAATAGAAAATTGTTGACATCGAACAAGATGAAATCTACAAAGCATTGTTAATCAAGAAAGAAACTGAATGAATTGAATGATTTTACATTTTTATGCTTTCCTAATATTTTGGACTAATTCTCATTGGGGCGTCTCTTGGACAGGACTCAGGCGTTTATATGACGGGGGTGTCTAATAAAATTTTAACTGTGTAGTGAGGGTTTTTTATTAGATAAGAGGTATTTATTTGGAAGTGGGCGTTTATTAGGTCATTTATCGTTTATGTTATATTTTTTAGGAGAGAAAATGACTGAAGAAGAAGTAAATTTACTTGTCAGTGGAATAGAGGACCAGCAAGGACAAATTAACTATGAAGGTATAATTATGTAAACAGTGTTTGTTATTGTTCAAGTTGATATTAGCGGAGCTCCACACACGCAGGCAAGTGGAGCCCCATAGCTAAGAAAATGTGGTTCTCTATCAATCCGAGAAATTTTGGTAGTCATTTGACTGTACATCTGTCCATTCACCTATCTGTCCACACCACAGGACAACCAATGCGAAACACATTGGACATCCATGTTGTGGTCAATTGACAGTTATCAAAACGGGGTATCCACTGACCAGTATCACATGACTGTATTGTTGGCCTAGGTATTGACTCATTGAGCTGAGAGTGGATGTTTTTTTGAAGTTATGCGCTGACAAGTTACTAGTTTTCAACTGATCGCAGGCTCAAATCCAAATAAATTTCTTTGCAATAGTTATAAGTTAATTGTTTGAAATAAATTATAAATTTATTAACAGGAACTCTGTCTTTAGCCCTTGCTAAATCTATGTATTAGTCTTTTTACTATGTTCTAAGAAATATCTTTATATCTCTTAATATATATATTTTTTTATGTCTTAGCGCACTTGCCACACTCGCCCCCAACCTGCTTCTGATTTGCAGACAATATAGTATCAGGCACACACTAAAAAGCAAAATGAAGTCCTTTTCCTTTTTGATTTCCCTCCTCACTCCTTCTTTCACCTTTCTTTCCCCCACCCCATTTTTCTTTTCATTAAGTTTACTTCCGATGGAAAAGGTGTTTTTGGGAAAGCTTTCAGGATGATGGAATGAGATGTAGGTTCTGCTGCCCTATTTCACTACACTGTATTTTTTTCTTTGCTTAAGGAAAGGGCTTTAGACTATTGTTAACCCTAGAGTGATCAACATTATTTCTCCCTAACAATAATTATCAATATTGAAAACCAAGAGAAACGGCTGAAGAATGAATAAAATGATCACTTAAAGGAAAATCCTTTGACCTTTTATCTAAGTAATTCTCTCAACTAGTTCTTTAAGGAATGTGTGGAGGTCAGTCTAGAGAATTTGTATCTTGATAGTGGGGTTTCATGTTTTTTGATATAACGGCAATCATTAGGCCAAAACTAATCAGCACGCTGGATGGTTAAGTATATCCGCAGCGTGGGGGGAGGGGGTACTCAAATAAGTTTTATACAGGAAAGCTCCTCCCCGGGGTTTAATACCTTGCCTTTTTATATACTGTACCATTTATGACAGAAGAGGTACCCCTTTCATATACCTTCTAAGTGACAAGTGGAATTCTTTTGGACAAACCTAGTTTACAACTTTTGCATCCTTTTTTAACTGCTGCAAATGCCCTGTCTTTGAAATATGAATAGATCACAAAACCAGAACGTATTCTCGACTTTTTCACAGCGTTAAAATGCATCTGTTAGCCCTTTTGGGCCTTTTCATTGTCAGAAATGACAGATTTCCTTGCCCTTTCAAATACTTCAACAAGCGAAATCCCTACCCTTTTATATTTTTGAAGCCTGAAAAAGGTAAACCTTCGAGCGGAGTCTCCCCGTATAGTTTGGTATGACTAGGCACTGGTACTCACAACAATGATATTAAAGAATTTCTTTTGTCCTGTACAGAATTTGTCAAGATGGTTATGAGTGGATAAAATAACAGCTTTTAAAGAAGATAATAATAGTCATTTATAGTGATTTAGAAATATGAAGAAACAGAAACTGTTACTAAGAAACTAAGAGCTGATATCATTGAGAAGTCTGAAAACGAAAATGGAGGGATACCGGTAAATGTACATTAAATTATAAGGATATACAATGTGCAATGTTACTTGACATTTATTGACATATTTTCTATAAATCTGATGTACTGCAGAATAGACTTTTGTATGCTACTTTTGTAGGCAAATAAAGAAGCCTGTTGATTTTGATCCCTTGGACCACAATTATTTGTGTAATCGTGAACATCATTTTCCTCTTAAGATTGTAACGTTTCCAGATTGTATCCACACGCATGAAAGTTGAAAATGCCAGGTTGAACTTTTTTAGAGGAGGGGAAGCAATGAAAAAACTCCTTTTTGAGCGGGGGGTGGACTTGTGAGAAAAATGGTCCACGGAAGGACCAGCCTAGTCCCTAGGCGTTCTCTCTTGATCTGTTATCTGGGAGAGAGCGAACGAGTATCTCTCGGTGACATCACAGCTCATGCTGGAGTTCAGGAATGACCGAGCCGAAAACGCGTGGGACTAGGCTGCGGAAGGACTACGGAAGTGCATGAACGTACTTGTCGTTTCAATTACCAATAGTAATATGCGCATTCAAAATGGATTTTAAGAAATCTTTAGTCTCGCTTTCTTTAACAGCGAGACTCTCAAAATGCAGGCGTTTCTTTTTTTTTTTTTTATCGTGTGCCCGTGCCAATAGAGACGTCTGCACGCAGGCAAGGACGGGCGAAAGAGCCCCTGGGTACCGACTCTCACCGGACCATTTCCAAAAAATTCAAGCGGATGCCGGCTCCTGATTGGGCACAAAAAATGCTTTGTATTATTGTGCCCAATTGGCGAACATATCTCCTGAGTTCTTTTCGTGTGTTCGTACACGACGGCTATTGTCTGGATCACTCCTTGTCTGGCTCATGCACTAAAGAAACGCACGCAGTCAGGAAACTTTCAGTTTGATATAAAATCCCCATCTGATTTCAAAATACTGTCTGCCCGAAAACGAAAGACTCTTTTCCAAAAATACAAGCTTCAGCTTACAACAGGTATTCACGCTTGCTTCGGTCACGGCTTGCGTAAATATTTATAGAGAGTTTTTAAAAGATACCACGACGGCTGACCGCCACGAAAACGTCGCATGAAAAAATGAATTCATATTTTTTTCAGTCTCAGTCGTGATTATTCCAACTAGCTTACTTTGTCAAATGCAAGCGAACTCTTCTGAAGCTGAACTTCTATCAACCATATCGTCCATATCCAAGTTTATGGGGAGATTGAATTGTCATTGCTTGTTTATGTCCTCCACAAAACGTGAAATTAGGCATTTTCAGGGGTAGTCGTGCAGTTGACGGCAAAGAAATGTACAAAAAAGCATGATGCACGTGCAAAGTTGTTTTGCCTTTTCAGGCTTAATTGCTTATTTGACTTTCTCGTCAGTCGGTACCCGGGGGCTCGTCCGCCCTTACTTGAAAACTTTCGTCCCGCCTTTTCTCCCAACCCATCCTCGGAGACCCAGGGGCAGTTAGTCGGGTCGATAAAATGTCCGTGAGTAAACTTTCACCACGGACATTTTATCGACCCGACTAACTGCCCCTGGGTCTCCGAGGATGCTCCCGACCCGACTGACTGCCCTTAGGTCTCCGAGGATGGGTCAGTCCACGAATTCTATCGCTTGAAAGCGTTGATTACTTTGGAACAAGTGATTAATTCAGTGGTCCGAAAATCCTCTTAATGAGAAAAAATTCGATAGTGAGGCTAGCTGGTAGGGTGTTGTAAGGTTTAAAACGTGTGTCGAAAATGACATTTTTTGGTACACCTATTAAAAAAATTAGGACACATAGCGTCTTACTCTTTACAATAGTTTAACTTCAGTTTCTTTTATTTCACTTTGAAATCAAACATTGACCTGCTTTTATCCTATAATTTGAAATTTCATCCTGAGGTATTAGCTAAGGGTTCCACAGCCGAAGTGCAGGAAAATCTAAAAACATAGTTCCTCATCTCCTTCTGCCTCCAACAGTAAATCAGGGGGTTAATGAATGAGTTTAACATGATAAATGTATTCACCCACGGACAGGGAATGCATGACTGACTACCGACCACGCCCGTGTTGGTATCAATTCTGAATAACATGAACACGGCGACTGTTAAAGCTATTGGTAGAAAACATACAATAACAGCACCTACAACTAGCACAGTTGTCTTGAACGCTTTGTTTTCTCTAGCGAATCTTTGCTCTTCCCCCTGCGGCAGCTGTTGATTTTTAATCTTCTTTTGGTGGCGACGTATTTCACGGTACATAATGGTGTAAGCAGACGCAATGAAAATAACACACGAAATAACAATTAGAACTGCTAAAAATTCAAAAGTTAAAGTAACTGCCTCCGTTTCTACATCGATAAGTCCTAATATAACATAAAAAATTGAAATGATCCAAAATCCGATAACTGTCACCTTAATATTTCGCGCCGTGACAAGATAAGGGTGTTGGTAGGTAAATCTGATGGCTACCAACCTCTCGCAAGTCACTAACATCAGATGAAGCGCCGAGCAAATGGATAAACCACGAAGTAAAGAGCTGTGAAAAATTCCAATATTGTCTTTTCCTGACAAACCAGCAAACTGAAGCGCTTTCCATAGAATGAAGGAGGGTTGTGCAATGAAACCAGTGAATACGTCTGTAACCGCTAAACAGGCCAGCAACACGTTTGCTTTGGTCTGAAGTCTTGGTGTCTTTTTCACAGCAATGATTACAAGCACGTTGAGCACAAATGTGAAGGGGCAGATTATACTGTTGATAACTAAAGTTATGAGTGAACCTGTGTCATGGCTTTCCATGTTTGACGCCGTCAAGATTCTGTTCTGTTGTTTACTGTCAACTCACAGTGAATTAGACAGACTGATTAGAGAGGTTTCCGATCCCAAACCGAAACTACGTTTATAAGGCTAGATTTCTGAAGAACATATATTTATTTCTCTAATGTAAGTACCTTCAATCATTGCCACATGTTTCCGCCCAATTTTTCCTTGTTAACTGTATGGCGGTAAACCGGTTGAAGTAAATTGGTTAATGCGTTGTCAATTAAGTTTTCATTTCTTTGTTTGCGACTACAGCGGCAGATATTGATGACGTCCAAAGCCACTTACATATGTCTCTTGAAACCTTAAATATTTGTTTTGGTCAAGGAACTTGATTAATGCTAATTTTATAGAGCGTTAACTGTTAAAGTTAATGTTTGATAGTTGTATAGAAAATTTGGAAGCCTATAAATTACTAGTGATAAATTCGAACCAACTTCAAGCCTCAATTAAACCATGAGCCGTAAAGCAAGTCGCCAGAACAATTTGTGAAC